GGATGTCAGAGAGGACATCAAATCCCCTGGAACTGGAGTTATAGATGGTTGTTAGCCACCATGTGAGTGCTGGAACCAGGGTTCTCTGCAAGAGCAGGCAGCTTTATTAACTGCTGAGCCATCTCTCCAGCCCATCAGACCCCAATCTTATCTAAAAGAATGTTGGCAACTGATTGCTGCTAGATGAAGAAGAGCTGATCTTACTAAAACAAGGGACTCTAGATAGGCTGACTAGACTCAGTGGATGGACTTGCACTGGGGAACGGCTGGGGACACTGACAACAGAGTGGACAGTAACAGTGATGACAGAGTATATGGGCTCGGGGGGGGGCTATGGGAGAGTGACATTTGGGATGCGGGTATAAACATGAATAAGATTGTTTGGAATGCTCTGTATGAAATACACAAAAAAAATCAATTAAAAAAATAGCAAGCTGGTTCTTAACCAGTGCCCTACATTAATGACCCCCCTTCCTGGGACAAACTTACTAGGTTGAACAGTTTCTCACTCACTATAATTCTTTAAAGGAATTGTCACACCTGATCTCTGGCTGTCTGTTGATAACATAATGAAGAAAATTGTATGAAGTCAGAGCAATCACACTAATGTTCAGGAAGATTCAAGTGTCAAAACCATTAGCCAGTCACAATGGAACTAAGAACTGAAATGTAACAGTCTGGTATATTTACTTATCTTTCCAATTTCTGACAAAACTATTCTGAAAATGAAATGATGCTTCTGGCATGCTTCTAGTTCTCAGCACAGTGAGCCACACACAACACATGATAAAAAGACCCACAAAAATAAGGATAATATTATGGATTAGGCATAATGATTTGCATCTGTAGCCATTGTTCAGGTTAATTCTGTGTGCCCTTACATTTCATTTCTATCATCCCTTCATTCCAAAAACACAGCTGCTCTTCCAATGAGTGATGCTGTGATAAAGCCAAAAAACATGTTAGCAACAGTATGCTAGCTCCCCAGGCAAAGAAGGACCCTGGTTCTCTAATATCCACATCACATTTATTTTTAGTTGCTATGTCCACATTTGATTCAAAGAAGCAGGCAATATGACAGATTCCTGTGTGATCAATCAGTTAAGGACCCAAGAGACAAAAACAGAGGAATCAATCTGGAAAGGTAAATGAAAACTGTACTCTAAAGAAAGGCGGCCGCCATTTTTAATGTTTTAATGCTTCTTAGTCGTGGGTAGCTCGCCAGCACTAAAGGCAGGAATGGATTTCAAAGGCAAAAAGGTTAAAAAAAAAAAAGAAGAAGAAACTCCAGAGTCTTAGGGAATCAGACAGATGCCAATTCTACATCTCTGTTCACAGGAAGATAACTCTTTCAACTTAGTCTGCAAAATGGATAGACCTAAAAAGACAGAACTAGACATTACAAAATACTTTGTACCCTGGTCTGACCATCAGATGGTAAATCTACTTCAAATACTTTTACATGAAGAAAAGCAAGAGGTGATTTGTATTTATAAGCTCCCTGGCCAATGTTTTACTGGCACTCGGTCCCAGGAACAATGGAATACAAGCATAGCATTACAAATCTTACCAGCTGTACCAAGACTCCCAGATACCCTTAAGGACACTGTCACTTCACACATTCTCTTGCTTTGCCTATGGCACTTCTCCAGAATCATTTGTTTAGGAAACAAACTCTCTCCTCCAGATGGCCAACAAACAGTGAAAGACAAGATACAGCTGAATTCTTCTTGTACTTTCTTCAGCCTTATGATTTTAAACAACTCTCACTTAACAGAATTGTAACCTTACACAACAGTATTCTTATCATTGAAAACTTTCATGATGGCGTTTAGCTCTCTGAAGCTGCTACAAACTATTTAAAAAGGTAAAGCTCTGCTAAGACTTCTCTCTGAGTTGTTTTTTCATATGTACACTGAATTTGATAGTGAAAATTTATTAGAAGATTAATAAAGTATCTCCTAAATGGTGGTGCATGCAAAGTGATCACAGAATGTCTTTTTATAGTAGCTGGTTAAAATCTTGTCTCCTAAACTTAATTAAACTAACACATGGGAAAAAAATTAAAAGTTCAAATTAAATGTTTATGGGGTCAGGAAGACAATGAGAGAAGCCATCTGAGGCAACAATCTGTGTTGTAATTGTATCCTAGCTTGTAAACATCAAGCATAGAGATATTTTGTATGGCCAGGCATTGTGGTGTATGTCTTTAATCCCAGCACTTGGGAAGCAGAGGCAGGTGGATCTCTGCACATGTGAAACCAGCCTGGTCTGTATTGCAAGTTCCAGACCAGCCAGGGTTAAAAGGTAAGACTCTGACACCAAAAACAGTGGTTTTATATTAAATATAAATGAGAATTCTTCCCTTCTGCAAAGAAAGCTATGCTTCTCCCATCTGTAAATGAGTAACCTTCTAAAAATTAAGGAAAATATCCTTTATTTTTCCACATTTAATGTAAACACAGACTACTTCAATTTTCTCTTGCCACTAGAAAAAAACTATAAGCACCATAAATACAATAATAAGTGGAAAGTGATGCTGGATCTCATTACCTAGGCAACAAGGTGTGGTGGGGTTTGGGTAGAGAGCCCATGTCCCATCTAAAATGTTTAGCACCATTTAATTCTGTTAACTAGGAATATGATGAAAGCCACAGATATAATTGAGTTTTTAGAAGTAATGCTAGAAATTCTTTGATGGAGCTAGGGAGATGGTTCATTGGATAAGAAGGTTTATGCTGCAAGCATGAGAACCTGAGTTCAAATCCTCAGTACCCATGTAAAAACCTGAGCATGGCTGTGTATGCCTGCAACCCCAACAGGTGGGCAGAGACAGGAGTATCATGAGAGCTTGTTGGCCAGCCTCCCTGGGTAAAATGGTGAACACTCCCCAGTTCGTTGACAGACCCTGTCTGGAGGCAATAAGGTGGACAGCAATTGAGGAAGACAGAAAGTGGACCCCTGGCCTCCACTTGTGCATGCACGTATGTACACACACACACACACACACACACACACACACACACTACACACATACCCCTCTGCACACTCATAGACATGCAACACACACAAGACACAAAAAGAAAAAAATTTAAGGTGAAATAAGTTGGCCACAAGAAAACAAATACCTTATGATTCCACTTACCATCAAGAGTAGTGAAATTCATAAAACTAGAAAGTAAAAGAGTGGGAGCGGGCATGGTGGCACACACCTTTAATCCCAGCACTTGGGAGGCAGAGGCAGGTGGATCTCTGTGAGTTCAAGGCCAGCCTGGTCTGCATATCGCACTCCAGGTCAGTTCAAGCTACAGGGAGACCCTGTCTCAAAAAGACAAAAAAAGAGAAAGAAAGTAGAAGAGTGGTTGCCAGACATGAAAGAGTGAGAGGAAAGTGAGTAGTTGCTTAATCAGGGTGTCCATTTTAAAAGGGGAAGTAAAAAAGTTCTAGAAATTAGATGTGGAACAACGTGAATAAATTTAACACTTCTGAACTATACACATAAAGAGTTAAGATGGGAAATTTTATGCTACATGAATTTTATACCAAAAAGCATAATTTTACAGGCTAGATAGATGGCTCAGTTGTTAAGAGCAGTGGCTGCTTTTACAGAGGACCCCTGTTCAGTTCCCAGCACCCACATGTGTGTAACTCCAGTCCCAAAGGATCTGACACCCTCTTCTGACCTCCATGGGCATTGCATGCTTGGGGTAAAA